TGTGCACAGTGTGCGCCGTGTGTGCAGCGTGTGCGCAGAGTGCGCAGTGTGTGCAGTGTGTGCGCAGTGTGTGCAGTGCGTGTGCAGCGTGTGCAGTGTGTGCGCAGCGTGTGCAGTGTGTGTGCAGCGTGTGCAGTGTGTGCGCAGCGTGTGCAGAGTGTGTGCAGTGTGTGTGCAGCGTGTGCGCAGCGTGCGCCATGTGTGTGGAGCGTGTGCGCAGCGTGTACAGTGTGTGCGCAGCGTGTGCAGTGTGTGTGCAGCGTGTGCAGTGTGTGTGCAGCGTGTACAGTGTGTGCGCAGCGTGTGCAGAGTGTGTGCAGTGTGTGTGCAGCGTGTGCGCAGCGTGCGCCATGTGTGTGGAGCGTGTGCGCAGAGTGCGCAGCGTGTACAGTGTGTGCGCAGTGTGTGCAGTGTGTGCGCAGCGTGTGCAGTGTGTGTGCAGCGTGTGCAGTGTGTGCAGCGTGTGCAGTGTGTGCGCAGCGTGTGCAGAGTGTGTGCAGTGTGTGTGCAGCGTGTGCAGTGTGTGCGCAGCGTGTGCAGTGTGTGTGCAGCGTGTGCAGTGTGTGCGCTGCGTGTGCAGAGTGTGTGCAGTGTGTGTGCAGTGTGTGTGCAGCGTGTGCAGTGTGTGCAGCGTGTGCAGTGTATGTGCAGCGTGTGCGTAGCGTGTGCAGTGTGTGTGCAGCGTGTGCAGTGTGTGTGCAGCGTGTGCAGTGTGTGTGCAGTGTGTGTGCAGTGTGTGTGCAGCGTGTGCGCAGCGTGCGCCGTGTGTGTGCAGCGTGTGCACAGCGTGCGCCGTGTGTGTGCAGAGTGCGCAGCGTGTGCAGTGTGTGCAGTGTGTGTGCAGTGTGTGTGCAGTGTGTGCGCAGCGTGCGCCGTGTGTGTGCAGCGTGTGCACAGCGTGCGCCGTGTGTGTGCAGCGTGTGCGCAGCGTGTACAGTGTGTGCAGTGTATGTGCAGCGTGTGCAGTGTGTGTGCAGTGTGTGTGCAGTGTGTGTGCAGCGGGTGTGCAGTGTGTGTACAGCATGTGCAGTGTGTGTGCAGAGTGCGCAGCGTGTGCAGTGTGTGTGCAGCGTGTGCGGTGTGTGCAGCGTGTGCACAGCGTGTGCCGTGTGCACAGCGTGCGCCGTGTGTGCAGCGTGTGCAGTGGGTGTGCAGTGTGTGCAGCGTGTGCAGTGTGTGCAGCGTGTACACAGCGTGCGCCGTGTGTGCAGCGTGTGCGCAGCGTGTGCAGTGTGTGCGCAGCGTGTGCAGTGTGTGCAGTGTGTGCAGCGTGTGCAGTGTGTGTGCAGCGTGTGCAGTGTGTGTGCAGTGGGTGTGCAGTGTGTGTGCAGAGTGCGCAGCGTGTGCAGTGTGTGCAGTGTGTGTGCAGTGTGTGTGCAGCATGTGCACAGCATGCGCCGTGTGGGCAGTGTGCAGTGTGCGCGCAGTGTGTGCAGTGTGTGTGCAGCGTGTGCAGTGTGTGTGCAGTGTGTGCAGCTTGTGCAGTGTGTGTGCAGTGTGTGTGCAGTGTGTGTGCCATGTGTGTGCCGTGTGTGTGCAGTGTGCAGCGTGTGCACTGTGTGCAGCGTGTGCAGTGGGTGTGCAGTGGGTGTGCAGTGTGTGTGCAGCGTGTGCAGTGTGTGTGCAGTGTGTGTGCAGCGTGTGCGCAGCATGCGCCGTGTGTGTGCAGCGTGTGCACAGCGTGCGCCATGTGTGTGCAGCGTGTGCGCAGCGTGTGCAGTGTGTGCAGTGTATGTGCAGCGTGTGCAGTGTGTGTGCAGTGGGTGTACAGTATGTGCAGTGTGTGTGCAGAGTGCGCACCGTGTGCAGTGTGTGTGCAGTGTGTGTGCAGCGTGTGCGGTGTGTGCAGCGTGTGCACAGCGTGTGCCGTGTGCACAGCGTGCGCCGTGTGTGCAGCGTGTGCGCAGAGTGCGCAGTGTGTGCAGTGTGTGCAGTGTGCGTGCAGCGTGTGCAGTGTGTGTGCAGTGTGTGCAGCGTGTGCGCAGCGTGCGCCGTGTGTGCAGCGTGTGCACAGCGTGCGCCGTGTGTGTGCAGCGTGTCCGCAGCGTGTGCAGTGTGTGCAGTGTATGTGCAGCGTGTGTAGTGGGTGCACAGCGTGTGCAGTGGGTGCACAGCGTGTGCAGTGTGTGTGCAGTGGGTGTACAGCATGTGCAGTGTGTGTGCAGAGTGCGCACCGTGTGCAGTGTGTGCAGTGTGTGTGCAGCGTGTGCAGTGTGTGCAGTGTGTGTGCAGCGTGTGCAGTGTGTGTGCAGAGTGCACACCGTGTGCAGTGTGTGCAGTGTGTGTACAGCATGTGCAGTGTGTGTGCAGAGTGCGCACCGTGTGCAGTGTGTGCAGTGTGTGTGCAGCGTGT